TCGTTGGACTCGGAGTTTCTGGACAAACTGGATCTGCAAAAGGTGATTGGCAGTGATGGCGAGATAACATTGGAGGGCATGCGCAGCTACGATGAACTAAGGGCTGGCCTAAAATCTGATGACATCCATAAGGAAGAGAATCCCGGTGCACTGGCGACACAGGATGAAATGCTGAAGGATTTAATCGAACGCAAGCGACAGCAGGAGGAACGCGAACGTCAGCAACAAGAGTTGGCGAGTTCGCAGGATTTGGGCGCACTCAAATTGAAAACGAAATCGATTTTGGACAAACTTGGAGACGAGAGTAAAGAGGAACGTACAGCCGGAGCCGAGGCTGGGAAAAATTTGCAAAAACTAATGTGTGATTCGGAAAGACCCAAAGAGCTGCTTGATCCCAAAGAGGAGAGCAACAGCGACCAACAGGAAAATGCACGGGAGTTGCTGGAAGATTTCACTCCAATACAATTAACATTGGGTGGCTGTAAAATATACGAATTAAAAAGCCAGCTGCCTAAAACAGGAAACGGGGAAGAGCCAGGGAAAGATATGGAGGCAACAGCAGAAAAGAAAAGCGATGGGAACGATAAATGTAATTTAGAGCAAGAAGCTTTGAAAATGGAGCCACCCATTAAAGAAGTTATAGAACCACAAATCGATGAATCTATCGAGACGTCCAATGAGAAACCGGAAGACACGCCCAGCGCTGATCCAGAGCCAACAAAAATAGCAACAAATCCCAATGTAAGCATAGATGACGATATTATTTCCGATGCATCCACTGACTATGATTCTGAAGAAGAAATACCCGTTGTTGAGCCGCCAAAGCTGCCCGAGGGTGCGCTCAATGAATTGTTTAGCAATCAGTTTGAAGATGGCCAAAAGTTAGAGCGTGAAAGCGAAGAGGCTTTGCGCAAGCAGCTCTTCAGTTTGCCGCTCAGGGCTTGGACAAGTCAGGAGGAAGACTCCATAAATGAAGAGCAACGTTTGAAAACAGGCAATGAAAAGTCTGAAGCGGAATCAGCTCTAACCACAGATGTGGATGACGAGAGCTCGGAGCTGGAAGCCAAAAAGAGCTCACCAGAACAAACCCAGGTCGTCGAGGAAGACGATACAACAGATACTGAATCGAATGGTGCCATTGGCGAACTGGCACGCAATGCCAAGCGTCAATGGGCTAAAATATCACAGAAGCTAAATGAGTTCATTGCGGCGGATGATATGAAATTGCTGGAAAAGAGTCAATTCAATGAGGACGAAAGTAATGGCGAAGACGACTTTGAACTGGAGGCTAGTCTAAAAAAACTGAATACCATTTATGAAGATTGTGAGACGCAAATTAAGAATTCCAATCTAGACAAATCTATTGATAAAACCGAAACACAGATATGCGCAGAGTCCACTGTTGAGAGCCCAGAGAAGAAATTTAAAGAAAATGCACATGAGAATCTAATACTGGAAGACGTAGAGCTGACTATTCAAGAGGCCGTCGAAGAGTTGCCTCAGTTAACAGAAAATCTAAAAGAAAAACTTAATGAAAATAAAAATCGAATACTAGAGGACGTAGAGCTGACTATTCAAGAGGTTGGCATAGAACTGCCTCAGCCAGCTGATGAGAAATCAATACTAGAGGACGTAGAGCTGACTATTCAAGAGTCTGCCAAAGAGTTTTCCCAGTTAACTGAAAATCTAAAAGAAAAACTAATTCCAGAGGACGTAGAGCTGACTATACAAGAGGCTGTCGAAGAGTTGCCTCAGTCAGTTGAGAATCCGTCCAAGCCCATTATAAGATTAGATTATTTTGAAGCTATTGAACCAGATAATGTTGTTGCTGATTTCGATACAAATACAGAGCTCAAGACCGAAGAGATCGAGTGTAACCTGGAGATCCTAAATGATGATGGCGATGCAGTCGTGCAGGAGGTCAGTGTGAATGCACAAGTGACCTACGAGCTTAAATAATAAATTTTGTTTGAGTTTATGTTCAATTACAATTGCATCATTAATTTGTCTTTTAATCATGTCTACAATTTGCACATTTTATACAATACCCATCACCACGTGTAAGAACACTTTTGAACCCATTGATAACATCGGGAGAAGTTCAAAATCGAGAACCGGTTTAAACCGACTTAAAATTCTAGTACATAGCAATTAATAAAAAAAAAAAACAAAAAAAAAGTATATGCATGATTTATAAATATATTATGTCTGATAGATTAGAGGGACTGTATGTTTATTTTGCTAGTTCGATCGCCTATATAAATTGGCACATCCTGAGTTGCTTGAAACCGGTTTGGCATAGCGTGCTAACCGGATTTTTGCTTTGTTTTGATGACAGCCGAGGGCACTCGAACAAGTTATCGGCGAAAACTTATCAGTTCAAAAAAAAAATGTAGCACCTCCCAGAACACCAGCGAGCAGCCGAAGATTGCGTGTTCAGTTTATTGGACCCTACTGTATTATGAATATGTACATATGCATAATTGTATAACAGAGCATAGCACCATCTATATATATATATATATATGTGTGTATTATATTCAACTGACAACAGCTATCAGCTAAGAACTCTTAGGGGGGTCATCTATTATATTCTTGGAAACCTGTTTATTCAAACATTTCAAGAACTTGCCAAGTTCAGTTATACTCAAGATAATGCCAGCTGCCTATTATCGAACCAGTTTTTACCAGTTTGATTTCCAAATTTTATTATGATCATTCGTCATTTCATAATCTTATCTAGATCACACTCTTAAGCGGTCTGCAGCGGAACTTGGGGGGGTAAAGTAGGTCAGTGGTGAAAACGTTCAATGTCCAAGTTATCGGTCAAGTAATCATTTCGGTAGTTTGGACGGAATTCCGTCTTATGTAAGCCCACTTAGACGTTTACAGTTTTGATAGAATATTTTCATTAATGTTTGAGAAACAAGTACGTGAGTAGCGAACCTGATAAATATCGATTTTCAACAACTGTTTTTTTGAGAATATCTTGAAAATGCAGTCACAATTGTGTTGTTTAGGTTCTCGTCTAGTAAAAACTCAAATATATATTATTTATTAAGGTTATCTTTATATTTTGATGGTTGCAGTAAGATTTCTATAAACTGAAGCTTCTGCTTTAATCTGAATGAATATACATACATATATACTATAAAAGCAAGGTGCATATGGTGTTGCTCTTATCGTCAAATTGAATAGTTTCTGCGAATTTCTTAAAATTGTATATATAAATAAATTCCATGACCGAAGTGGACACTAGTTATATATCCTTGTCGAGATACATTAATTATATAGATTATATAAATTTATGCTCTAAATATTAAACAATTACAATGCAAAATGTGTAACATAATTATTTGCTTGACTTAAATGCAAACTTAAATTCAGATCGACATTTTTAGGTATATAACGAGCCGAATTGCATAAGCACAATCAGATAGGTGACCATGGCCGTAAAAATCTATGAAAATCAAATTATTAATTGGATAATTTAACGCATACATAGACTACTAAGCGACCTACCGACATTAGCAGGCTATAGTCAATATCCATAAAGCCCTCGGCGCTAATGATCAAGGCATCCTGTTCCACCTGCATGGCGAACTCGGCCAGGACTGCATTGTATGCCAAAGTTGGCGGTATGGCTTGGCATTGGGCAGCACAGGCCAGACCACGCACATGGCTGCCTATGAGCATGTGCTACAAGTTGATTATTAGACAGAGGTAAAAGGAGATTCATGTATTCACCTGTCGCTTGCAGTACTCGCCGCAACGGCAGAAGGTGAAGAGCAATATGAGCAGCGGCAAAAAGGTCGAGCAGGTCATGTAGATGAAAACAAAGCTATAGATCTCAGTGAGAACCAGCAGCGACCAATATATATTAACGATGCTGTCCAGAAACATAACAACAAAGATGCAGACAATCGACCAGCCAAACAGGCTATTATAAAGTTCAAATAAACGATATAGCTCCATGTAGGCACGCTTCAGGCTCAACAAATACTCCAAGGAGCACATTTGCTCAAATTTAACATTCAACTGCGATTGGGCGCCCAGCATACGATAGCTGTGCACCGCCTGCAGACGCTGATCCAATAGCTCCACATGATAGCCAAGGAGATCTGCATAGAGCAGCAGCAGCAGGCACTGAACACGATTGATGAATACGGCGCCCAGGGAGAACCAAAAGTAGCCAATATAATCAAAGTGTAGCACCACATATACAGATGGAAAGAGTGACACAAAATTGATAATGCCTAGCACAAAATACTTGACATATCTGGTCAAGGGCCAATCCTTAACTGGCTGCTGTAATTCGCACTGAAAACGCAATCTCAGGCACTTTAACTGCAGACAGAATTCGTAGTATCTTTTATGCTGGCACATCACTTGCAGTTCGACAACTGTTCAGAGAGAAAATTCATTAAATTGCATATACATATATGTATATATATTGACTATAAGGTTGGGACTGATACACGCCTGACATGGTCACAATCTGTGAGATGAACACAGTGCAGCTCACCAGCATCGATACCAGTAAATCACCTTCTGGCGAGGCAAAGAATACTATATAGAAAGCCACTCCGATGTTCAGAAATATTATGACAATCGTATAGATCCTTTGCAGCCGCTGCTGTGGCTCTTTCTCGGACCACGGCACCAGACCCAAGATGGCAAAGTATTTTAAGTATCGCTGCAGAGCGTAAAGCATGTTCAGTTCCGAAAGTGTGAATGGATACTAAGTAATGCAAGTGCTGTTAAGGATAGCTACTAGCCACAAATTTAAAGATTATTCGAATTCGATAATGCTTGCTAATTAAATTCAATAATTAGCTAAATGGCAAAGAAGTTGGCCAGAGGACAATAAACACGATTAATTTCGTTATTACGATAGATTCATATAAACAAGTTTCGTATAAATCATGAAAAAGAAATTTATTTTTTGATTAAAAAATGCATCAACTGAAATGTGTGGATATATATTTTTGAGTACTTACCGAACATAAATATATAGAAGGCGCATTCATATTAGATAATGCTAAAATATAAAGAACAATATTAAATTATATTAAAAAAAGTCAAAACTAAATTTAATTATTAATTTAAGACAAAATATTAAAATAATTTTAGTATCTGTTACACAACAAATACTTAATATTTATTTAAAATATTTTTGTTTGTTGTCCAATGATTTAATTAAATTATTTATTTATTGTTTTTAGTTTACATTCAAATAATATGTAAAAGCTCAAACATAATTAAATGCATCTAAGAATTTTTAAGAATTCGCGTGTTCCACATTTAGAAAAACTATTTTAGTTGTATTAAATTTGACGCAAAATAGTAAAATAATAATAAATGTCGCGAGAAGAGCAGCTAGGGCCAGTTGTCGACTATAATTCATAAATTGATATATATATATATATATTATTAAAATAATCTTTCTGATAATCATAGTCTGCCCTACATTAGCTCTTTACATAAACACAATCTAATCAAATCTATAATGAACGTTAATTAGCAACAATTAGACACTGCTTAACTAAATGTGTACAATCCCCTTTAACATATTACTAGGTAATATACTAAGTATTTTTCACACTTTTCTGTTTGTAATCACTGATTACTTTTTAGTTGACTTTCTCAATAACCAGTTCAAACCAGACGTCTAGCTCATAATATTAGGCTTTGCGTTGGTTTCTATTACAAATTGCAATCCGAGTCCATGTAATACCTAGAAAAGCCACCCAGACGAAACTCAAACCAAAAACGAGCCGTTAAATGGCATTGGCTTAAATAATGAATGCAGCTGGTTTTAAAATATTTGTTACCAAACTTTTCATTCACTGGGGCCCGCGCCAAAAATGTACTGATCATGCATAATCATCATGCTTATCAAAATTGCGTTTAGCTGCGACGAGAACTCTGAAGCTTTTCGAGCTGATAAGCGATATGTCCAACTTATTGTTGTTGTCTTCTTTTTCTGTACCTAATTATTGGAAAAGTAAAAGTATATTATAGTATATGTATGTGCACACAAATACGAATACATATTTCGAAACGGTAGCGACCGTAGTGCACGCCTAGGCTGGCATTTTTTTTTTCTTATTACGCGAATCAGCTGATAATATAGGGCCTGCTCTGGGTATAAATACGACCCAACAATGATCAATGCGATTCAGTTAATAGAAGTAGTTCGAGCGCTGTGCTGGCTGCTTCTCAATAAGAATAGTGTAAAAAGTGAAAAAGCTTAGGGAAAAGTAATTCCTATATCAAGTGATTTTATTAGAAAATAAAACTAAGCAAAAGAGGATATAAATTATACAAATAATTAATTTCAAACGCGAAATAACAATGAGTGTTAGTATATGATTTCAATCAGCATAATATTTTTTTCTAATTTAAACTAAATTACGATTCAAAAGAAAAATAGGTGATTCCCAGCTTTTTTTTTTTGACAAGGCATTTCCGGACCCATAAATTATTTATCAGTAAAAACAACCAAATTGATAAGCAATTCCAAGTTTTTGTTTTTGTTTTGAACACATAGTTTTCTAATACCGGTTGCTCTACCATTCAAATATTTGAATGAAAATTAAATTTTTTCCCCATTTTTCCATATTTTAAACAAAGTCTTTGCACAAGAGTCGTGTGTTAATATTAAGGGAATTTAATCTGCTGCACACTTTAAATATTTTTGTGAATTTTCACTCAAAATAGTATAAACAAAAAAATGCACTCGCTAATTATTTAGCCAGGTGTTCCTAGCGTTAAACTGTACCCAAACCTAAAAAATGTAATATATAAATATATTCATGTTCTAAAAGAATAATATTCCATGCTCTATAGTTGACTCGCTTTCTAGTTGCCCTGTAAAAGAGCTTGTTATTTTCTTGACTTGTATTTGTCAAATTGAAGAAATTAATGTTGAAATAAAACTCAGCCTCATATTAAATACCTTTGCTTCTTTTATGACTACAATTTTTTTTTTACTTACCTTTTGATTAATTAAATGAGAATGTTGTGATCCGAAATGCATATTAAATTTAGTTGTATTGCCTTTTTACAGTCCAGTCTGCGCATTGCGATTATTGGCCAGAGCAATTTTGCGGCCGATGTGCTGGAGTTGCTGTTGGAACGTTCCATTTTTCAAATAGTGGGCGTGTTCACCATACCGGACAAGGGCAGTCGGGAGGATGTTTTGGCCAGCACCGCGGCCAGCCACAATATACCCGTCTTCAAGTTTGCCAGCTGGCGCCGCAAAGGCATGGCCCTGCCCGATGTCGTGGCACAGTACAAATCGGTGGGCGCAACGCTAAATGTGCTGCCCTATTGCTCACAGTTCATACCCATAGAGGTGATTGATGGCGCCTCGTTGGGCAGCATTTGCTATCATCCCTCCCTATTGCCCAGGCATCGCGGCGCGAGCGCCATATCCTGGACGCTCATCGAGGTAAGCAGCAGGAGCGCGAATTCTTCGGATCGATTCTAATCCTCTTTTTGGTTTTTAACAGGGCGACGAGGTGGCCGGCTTCAGCATTTTCTGGGCGGATGATGGCTTAGACACTGGACCCTTGCTGTTGCAACGTCAGACCAATGTTGAGCCGACGGACACTTTGGACACCATCTACAAGAGGTTCTTGTATCCGGAGGGTGTCAAGGCCATGGGCGAGGCTGTTGATATGGTAGCCCAGGGCACAGCGCCCAAAATAATCCAAACTGAGGTGAGCGCCACCTATGATCCGGCCATGTTCAAAGCCGAGAACCAGCTGCTGGATCTGCAACAGTCCGCGGAGCGCATATGGAATTTTGTGCGTGGCCTGGACTCGGTGCCGGGTGCTATAGCTACCGTGCTTGAAGACGATGGCAGTGAGCAGCAGGTGCGCTTATTTGGCGCACATATCTATTCCGCTGGACCCGTTAAGGGCGGACAGCCGCTGAAGCTGAAGGGCCTGGCCAAGCCCGCCTGGGTCCACGAGGGCGGCCTGCTAATTGAGGGCACCGACGGCGCCTTTGTGAATGTGCGTCGCATTAAACGTGGCTCGAAGATGATCAATGCCAGCGATTGGTTCAAGCAGGCGGAGCACCAACCCATCACGGATTTCACCGACGATGAGTTGGCCAAACGGACTCAGTTGTCTGGCATTTGGCAGGCCATACTCAAGGAACCCATCGAGGCAACGACGGATTTCTTTGCCGCCGGCGCTGGCTCCATGGACGTGGTGCGCCTAGTGGAGGAGGTCAAGGAGGCATTCGATGTGCCGCTAGAGAATGAGCACGTCTTTATGGCGCCCGTCTTTGAGGAGTTCTTCGATCAGCTGATTAGAAGCCTGCGCCAGGGCAGCGGCGACGCCAGCGCCAAGCAGCTCAACTACGAGGGTTTCCTGCTGCAGGCGAACAAGCGTGAGATTCGGGTGCCCACACAGCTCTTCATCAATGGCGCGTTCATCGATGCCGAGCAGCAGCGCACACTGGACATCATTAATCCCACCGACGAGCAGGTGCTCTGCCAGGTGGCCTGTGCGAGCGTGAACGATGTAGATAAAGCGGTGCAGGCGGCGCACAAGGCATTCTTTGGCGCCTGGAAGCAGGTGTCGCCCCGGCAACGCGGACAGCTCATGCTGAAGCTGGCCGATCTGATGGAGCAACACAAGGAGGAACTGGCCACCATTGAGTCTGTGGACTCGGGCGCTGTCTATACGCTGGCCCTGAAGACCCACATTGGCATGTCCATCGATGCGTGGCGCTACTTTGCCGGCTGGTGCGATAAGATCCAGGGTAATACGATACCCGTGAATCCCGCCCGGCCCAACAATGTGCTGACGTTTACGCGCAAGGAACCGATTGGTGTGGTTGGCCTGATCACGCCCTGGAATTATCCATTGATGATGCTCTCCTGGAAGATGGCTGCCTGCATAGCCGCCGGCAATACCTGCCTGATCAAGCCGGCACAGACATGCCCCCTGACGGCGCTCAAGTTTGCCGAGCTCACCGTGCTGGCCGGATTCCCGCCGGGCGTCATCAATGTGCTGCCGGGCAAGGGCTCTGATGCGGGTCAGGCTGTGGCCGATCATCAGCTGGTGCGCAAACTGGGCTTTACCGGCTCCACGCCCATTGGCAAGCACATCATGAAATCCTGCGCTGCATCCAATCTGAAAAAATGTTCACTGGAGCTGGGCGGCAAGAGCCCGCTGATCATTTTCGCTGACTGTGATCTGGACAAGGCTGTGAAACACGTGAGTATGGACTAGGTATATTTTTATTAGATAATCAGTTGAACTATTTGTTGAGCCCCCGGTTCGATTTTCAAGTCAGGTCTTAATTTAAACAAATTGTTTCCTTCTTGTTTTAATTTTCCTTATTTTCTTTCTTGCAGGGCATGTCCTCGGTCTTCTTTAATAAGGGTGAAAATTGCATAGCCGCCGGACGTCTCTTTGTGGAGGATCGCATTCACGACGAGTTTGTGCGTCGCGTGCTCAAGGATCTGCGCTCGATGACCATTGGTGATCCACTCAATCGGTCCACGGCACACGGTCCACAGAATCATAAGGCGCACTTCGATAAGCTATTGGAGTACTGTGAACGGGGCGTGGCAGAGGGCGCAACGCTTGTCTATGGCGGTTGTCGCGTGCCCAATCTGAAGGGTTATTTCTTTATGCCCACCGTATTCACCAATGTCGAGGATGACATGTTCATAGCACAGGAAGAATCATTCGGTCCGATTATGATCATCTCCAAGTTCAACGGCAGCGATGTCGACTCGGTCATGGAGCGTGCCAATCGCACCGAGTACGGACTGGCCAGCGGTGTCTTTACCAAGGACATTAGCAAGGCCTTGAGCTTTGCCGATCGCATCGAGGCGGGCACCGTCTTCGTAAATGTCTACAACAAAACGGATGTGGCAGCTCCATTTGGTGGCTTCAAGCAGAGCGGATTCGGCAAGGATTTGGGCCAGGAGGCGCTCAACGAGTATCTGAAGACCAAGTGTGTGACCATTGAGTACTGAGTTAATTCAAATTCAACAGATTTCAATGTTCG